ACTGGGAAAATGGGACTCAGCCTGCTTGTGAACAGCCTCCCAGAGCTTCACCTGAGCTTCAGCTTAGCGTCTTTATATAGTAACCTCAACCTCATTTACCTCGGTCTGCTGTGGTTGCTGCTTCTCTTCTTCATCTTCCTCCTGGGGATTCCCTCCACCCCAACCTTCCGGCGCCATGAGCACACGCACAGGGTAAGGAGCCCCGAGCGAGCCCCACCAGAGTTCTTCACTGTCCTTCCCGCTTCCATCCCCGCATTCCTACATGAGTTTGGTTGAGTCGGAGAGACACGGAAGATGGGACGTCTGAGGAGAGAAAGGAACATCACTCTCCTGGGGGAAGAGACCGGCAGGGCTAGGGGTTCAGGGAGCACCCGGTTTCCATGTGAAGCTCACAGACCATCTGGGCATGGTGGCAGGCTTCTGGCTCCACACACAGTGATTCCCTAGTTCTGGATCGAGTCATTTAGAGACTTTGGGGCCTCTGTAGGACATCGGCGTTAACCAGCACTTCATCATGGGGCATACTCCCCTGTCGGGCATCACTGGACCAAGCCTCTGTGTCGGGCTGGTCAGGAGAGCAGTGCTGAGCCTCGGGGAGCCTCCGAGCGCCTCTTAGCAGAGGCTGAAGCCTGGGCACCGCGCCAGGTTACAGGGCCATCAGAGGGACCCGAGATGTGGCTGCAGGCCTGACTCTGCGCCCTCGCCGAGCAGAGGGCCTCTGAGAGTGCCAACTGTGGACCTCCCAGACAAAACCCTCCTTGAGCATTTCAAAAAGGAAAAATTAAAACATTTCAAAGGTTTAAAATTTGGTAAAAGGAAGGAACACAAAATTCTACTAATTGAAATGAGTTTGGTTGGCTCAGAGAGACATTACTCTTAGATACTGAATGTCTGAGTTTCCCAGGGAGAGGAGAGAAATGAGTCCCAATCCCTCAATCTTTTTGTTCTCAGCGTCGGAGCAGAGACAAGAGGAGAAGGAAAGGTGGGACACAGGAAGGTAAGGTTCTGCCTGTACCACCCGAGCTCCCCAAGGGTGACCCTCTCTCTCCTTCCATGAACCACCAGGTCCATGATCTCTGTCAGTTGGTAGATAAGCCCCTCTCAGGAAACAGAGTCCTCAGAGGAGAGGCTCATGGAAAGACTGTCAGAACCTGAGACACTTCTCAGTTTCTCGGCTCTGCTGTCCCTGGGAACAAAGCAGTGACGGACCTGGACCATGGGCATTGCCCAGTAGATGTCCAGAGTCCGGACTTCTGTCTCCTGACTTTGGGAAAGTTCTCTGGCTGCAGGTGATCCGATTCCTCTTTGTTGTAACCACTGACGTCCCTGCTGCACAGAGTGGTTCTCAACATCAAAGGGGGTAATGTGTATAAAAGCACTTTACTAATGAAGCCACACACATGGGACCTTACTAATATTATCATTGACCACTTGACCTCATCCACCAATTCCTGGGGCTTTCAGAGTCTAGCACCCCAAGGGTCTCCCACATGGGGACTCCCGGGTAATGCCTATGTCTACCTTCATTACATGTAACACTCTCCTGGTTTCCCAGGTTTGAGATATTACCACAGGGAAGAGCAGGAGAAAAGGAGGCTGATTTCTGTCCTGAAAAGGTGACTGGCCTTCCCCCCTTTTTAGCATGCTCTACGCAATTCCAGGGATTCTGTGGAGCCTTCCACAGTCATGGGTGGGGGTTGCCATAGGAACGGGAATGTGAGTGAATGCCTTGGGGTGAGTGTCACTGAGTACATGTGAAGTCATGGATGGGGAGCAATGTGAAGGGGCAGCGGGCCAGTAGGTCCTTTCCTTGTTCTGGTCTTTGCTGCAGCTGTGTACCTCCTGTCTCCTGCAGCTCCCTGGGCCAGCATCATGATACCACCCACTTTCATCAACTTTTATGTCCAGACCCCTCCTGTGAGGTGGGTAATAATGCAACTGCTGAGATCAGTCGGTCACTATTCTCAGAGGACCTGGAAGATTCTACTCCCTCTGTGTCCCCTGTGGCTTCCACAGCTCCTGTGACTGAGCCACCATCCACTCAGTCCTCTGCCTTCACAGCAGTCACTCCAGGAGACCTAATACCACCTCCTCTGCCTGAGCCTTCCCCACCTCCCCCCTCCGTTCTCTCCCCTAACCCAATGGCCACCTTGGGTAATTTTCTGTCACCCTCACAGCAAGGTCAAACTCTGCCTCCAGAGCCTTCTCCTCCCTCGGAATCCAAATTCCCAGTGAGCCATTCCCCACCCCAACCCAAAGACTTGTTGTCTTCAACCTTGACACAATGTGATTTCCATCAAGAGTTGCCTGCCCTCCATTCTACAAAGACCTCTTTTGGAGGAGACCCTGCAGCCAAACTTATAGATCCTCGACACCTCTTATTTCTCAGCCCTGATGAGCATGACTCAGTACAGCAGTACTCAAATCCTAAGATCTTGGAGGACCTTTTAAAGCAAAAACTTATCCAGCTTTTCTGGGGTCTTCCATCTCTGCACAGCGAGTCCTTGCCCTCTGCTGTCCATGTCTCAAGTGACTATTCCTCAATCTTTATTTTCAATAGCATGTCAAATGCGTTCACAGACCAAGAATCCCGAATACTTCCTTATCATCTGTCTCCATCTTTGCCTGAGGTCTACCCTCAACCCTTGCCTCAAATCCTGCCCCAATCCCAGCCCCTACCTCTCAATGGGATCCAACCCCAGGCCCACCTTCAATCCCCACACCCAATCCTTCCATCCAGTCCCATTGCCCAGATTAGGGCCTGTGGAGTATATTTCCATAGACCTAAGAGTGAAACAGAACGTCTTACCTCATCTGAAATACAACACCTGGAATGTAATGTGTTGCAGAAGAAACAAGAACGTTTGTGGGGTTTACCCTCTGTGGTTCAAAGTTCTAAGAAAGACTCCTGTCCATCAGTTCCCACCTCTCCTTACCGTCGGCCCTCTAAGGCCCATCTTGCAATCTCCATCAGTCCTGTAGGGTTTCCTCTCAGCAGTGAACTTCGAGAGAAATTTGAGCATTACCTTAGAAAGAGGCTCATCCAACACCGGTGGGGCCTGCCCCGCAGGGTCCGTGAGAGTCTGTCACTGATGAAGCCTCTGAGAGAATTTTCAGACATACCTGAGTCAAAGAGCAGTTGTGGCTTCTCATGGATCTCTGTGGATAAGGGCCAGAGTAGCAAAAATCCAAATGTTGGACTGAGCCAACCAGGAAACTTCTACGAGAGGGGCTCAGAAATGTTTCAGCTAGACCAGGATGAGGGGAAGGGTGCGGGACACAGCCAAGAGAATGATCCAAAAGTTCATCTGTCGAGTGACTCAGAGAGATCTTCAGATAAGGATGTGGGAAATGACTCTGACATGATGAGTCTGTCAGGAGAAAACTCAATAGTGTCAGGGCAGCCTGGAAGTCAGAGACAACTGGAAAAAGGCCTGAAAGCACATCTGAGCAAGAAGTTTGAGGAAATCAATGAAGATCAACTATCTAGAACTGTACATAGTTCACAGCACACTACCAAGCAGACACTTCCTGTAAAATCCAACACCGAAATAAAACAGAGAAGCTTGCCACCATCAGTGGGTGGGGACAACTGTCTGGACACATCCCAGGAGCTTTTTTTCCTTAAGTCTGGTACACAGCAGATGCTGGAAGCCCACATTACCAAGTTTCGTGTAAGGATGTTGAGGGGTCTTCCCACCAAAGTCCTTGAATCCATAGAAGTCCTCAAATTGAAACATGCTTCATCCCATTCCTTGATGGATCCCAACTCTTCCTCCTCAACCAAACTGACTTCTGAGGTGAATGCCAAATCTGGGGGCTTCATGCCCCTGAGAGGAAGCTCTAAATCCCTTCATAGGGATGAGGTGGGAACAGAAAATTCAGCCACCGTCCTGGATCTTCCTCTACCTGCCACCTCACTTGTGGGCAAGGAAGGACAGGGGACCCTGAGACAATCACCTGCTGATATCAAACACGGACTTTCAGAGGCAATTAGGAAAATTTGGAATTCCAAACCGACTCTTCTGCCTGTCACAAACAGCATCAGTGGCAAAACAAATCAGAGACATTCTCTAATAGCCAACATTCAACCCCCAAAGCTGTCTGCAAGGCAAGCAGGGACTGGACATGAGCCAGAAACTAAGAGGGTGAATGCTAGCGACAGAGCAGAAATACAACAGGGCACAAATAGAGAGAAATCAGAACCTGCTTCCATGTCCAAAGTGTCCAGGGCAATAGTCAGGGCTGAGGAGCTCGATGCTCTTCAACCCAAAACTGGTGACGTTTTGACAACCAGCAAGCTGGGAATCTCCCAAAGAATAAATGTGAATGAGAGTGATGGAGACACTGCTGTGACCGCTGAAAAACCATCAAAAATATCAGCTCCCCAAGATCTTAACTTTTCGAATCTTAAAAAGCAAGTAATTGCTGAGTTAAAGCTGAAGTTGGAGGAGAGGAAGCACAGACAGGCCCAAGGCCAACCCGCTGACATGTCCCATGACTCAGACAGCTTGACTTACAAAGCCTCCCTGACCCATGCTCAGGGTGTCCCCAGTGTGGACAAGGCAACTCCCCAGGTGCTGCATGTCCACTTGGAGGACAGAGGAGTCAGTGTGGACCCGCGGCAGGAACCTTGGCTTCCTAAGAACTTGTTAAGGTCGTGCCGGTATAAGATTTTCCCACCATCTGAAAAGAAAATGAGTCCCAAAGGCTCCAAATCAGAAGAGCATGGTGCAGGAGATGCAGGGCTGAGAATTTTCCAGCCTAGAAGGAAGAGATTTCCTTCTCAGGACACAGCTTCAGAGAAGGGACAGTCTCCTCCTGATAGCCTTTTCCTAAGTAAAATGAAGAGCTTTTTTCAATGGCTTCATCCTGAAATAAAATGCGAAAAGCAAGAAAACCCTGAGGAAAAGGGCAGCCCCATATCCTCTGTGCAGAGCAGAGGCCCAGTTAAAAGCAGAGCTGTCTTTCCTGGAATGATGCAAGTTAACAGAGTCATGTCAGACTTTGGGAAGTTCCGAAAAGAGAAACTGGGGCTCTGGCCTACAACAGATTCCACCTGCCCTAAAGAGCCCCTTCCCTTTGCAGAGAAGTTTGGGAAAGCTCTGCAGAAGGCACCAGTGCAGGCCCAAGCAGAGCTTGTCCAGGGGCATCCTTTCAGCTCCAGGGCTCCCTCCTGCGAAGTGACAAATACCGAGCTTCGCCGCCAAGCACCTGTCTTTGCTGCCCAGAGCTCTACAAGTAGTAGACATACCAGAAACGAGGGCAGACACCCCCAGAAAGTTGTGGCATTAAAGGACCAGCAATTATGTCAGAAGCATCCCCGATTTGTGCCCTGCAAGGGGACTATGCCTCATCCAAGCCCCATCTGCAGGCCTCAAGCTGCCCAGGGGCCTCCTGCCATTCTCACCACTGCTGAAGGCACTGTGTTTAGAGGTCAGTCTGCACGATTTAGACATGCGATGCTTCTCCAGAAGTTCTAGGGGCAAAAATCCCCCCCCCCAAATGTCTTCCTTGTGAAGAATATTGACTTGCCTAATAAATGTTTCTCTAATAATAGTGATGTCTTTTCAGTGTCCAGTGTTGGGGGCATGGGTCTGGGGAATCTCAGGGCTTGTGCTTAGGGAAAGAAAGGAGTTCGTTCAGCTCCTGATTGCTTCCTTTGGCTTCCAAAAGTGAGCAGCCCCCTGGAGCTCTTGGTGAGAAATAGATATCCTGTGCCCTCCCCCAAAGCCCACTTCCTCTCTGACAAAGTTTGAGGAGATGGGCTCTGCCTCCTACTGCATAGCTTAGCCTTGATGAACACGGATAGCAGCCCACAACTTCCCCCTCAGGGATGCCTCATACCCTTTAGGGCATAGGGAAGACAGACCTTCTACATCTGAAGACCAGGGTGGGTATATTTTTGAGAAAATATCAGTGAAGACAAGACAGTGGCTTAGTCATTATTAGAAGTCAGTGATCAGAGGGCCCCACAGGTGGGTGAACCCTGAGTGGGAGTGTTTGGGGGGATATTGCTGCAGTGGATCTTGGGCTGGTTGGGGTAAGGTCTAGGAATGGCATAGACGCTGCTCAAAAATCTTCCTTGTGGGTCACATTAATGTGTTGGGGAAGCATCCTTAACCTTGACACTGAAGTATGCCTACTGGAAAGTCACCTTTGGGGGGTGGTTCCTGACCCTGGGCATTTTTCCAGGGTGAGGGATTAATGATATTTTTTTTGCTGAGCAAAAGCATCACTCAGCTACCAGTGGTAGGAATGTTAACCAGGCAGCCCCTTACCGCTCAGATAAAATAAAGCTGAAAGGAAAAGATGCCTTAGAGTGAGCAAGAAAGTAAGAACAAATGAGGAGGAGAGTGACCGTGCTGGTGGAACAAAGGTTTATGCCTCAGCAGCCCCACATTGGGACACTGTCTTGCTTCCAGCTTCTCAAACTGACCTAAGCTCCACCTGCTGAGGATCAGAGCACTGCACAGCATGCTGACGCCTTACACCAAAAAGGCATGGGGCTGTTCCTTGACCACTAAATATTGGCAGGAATGTCATCAAGCACGGCATCCCTGTCTTTGGGAAAGATGATCTTGGTGCCTTCCTTCCATCCATGCTTGATGGAAATACGTAGGATCTTGCCCTTAGTGTGTACAGTTCACCTACCAGGATGGAGATAGCAAAACCACCTTTGATACGGTTTTGGTGGAGCTGTAATACATCTCCCAGAACACCTGCAGCTCATGAAGCACAGGTGAGTTCTAGACTATGCACCAGGGTTAGAGACACTTGAGGGCTCACCAAGGACCTCCATGGAATGCTTTTTCTTTTCTTTTTTTTCTTTTTGGCCAAACCTGCACACATGCCCACACTTACTGTACTCTGGAGGGAAGGCAAAT